CGCAAAGTTATATTCAGAAAGAACAAACCAGTTTTATTTAAGAAATGACTTCTATCGGTAAAGTTTCTTCGGAAAGAATTTTTACGGAAAATTAATGAACGAACGGAGACGTAACAGAATTAATAATATCACTCAGAATAACTATTTGGGAAACTTGAAGTATATCGTCAGAATGTATTTATTTATTTTGGGTTTTTAGAATATTTGTTTTTCATCCCAGATTTTAAGATTATGTGCACTTGAGTTAGAGGACGATAAAGTTTGCAGTTTTGGTTTTCTATGTTGACTGTGGAACAGTAAGCAGACAGTGTTATTATAAATTAATGACCTCATTCCCAATCAAAACAAGTCTTATTTTACTATCTTTAGATGTTAAATTGCTGTATTCAGAGAAAAATAGCAAGAGAATGGCAACGAAACCAGCAAAGTTTTCCTTCTACAGCCAGTGGTAGTGCCATCTCTTTATCGCCACAGAAAACAGAGCAGATGAACAGCGAAAGTGAAGATGAAGAAGAGTTTTTTGAATGTGAAGATGGCAATGAAAATTCAGAAATCGAATCATCTATGGATATAGACAGCTCTCCTTCATCAGAAGTTAGTGGTAAGCCAAATATTTCTGTATATGTACTTAAAAATAAATTTATATGATAAATATTTAAATGTATCAACAGTTAAATTTGAAAAGACAGTTTTTAGATCTAAAACAGCGGAAAATCTTTGAAATGCAAAGACTCTTAACCATAAATGAATTAAATAAGTTAATCTAATAAGTTGAAAATAACCAACACAAGACAGAGTTAGCAAAAAAGATCTTCATGGGCCCTTAGTACCCTTGCACAAAGCTTATTTATATGAACCTTTGAATCAATGATTTGTAAGAAAATTATCCCTCCTTCCATTCCTAAACATACCTTTGCCCAGAAAAAACTAGAGGAATAAGCAATAAAACCTTCCAAAACTAGTTCCTTTTTTTTACATGTAATAGCAAGATAAGTGTTGATAAAAAAGATAAATCATGCTGTTATAATAGAATGCACTTGATGAATATGGGAACATTTTTCAATTCATAATGGTTGGAGATGGCTTGAATGGGTAATGAAGAAAAACTTTATATAAGTTTAACATAATAGCAAATGTACAACGTTTCACCAAGGTTATGTCACCATCAGGTACCAATCCTTGCCGAAACGTTG